TACTCACGCCGGCTTGTGCCCGCCTCACAGTCGAGAATATTTGCGGAATACACCACGCCGCCGTTGACCCTGGCCATTGACCGAGCAACCGTTGAAGGGTCAACAATCAGCTCCCTCCGCAGGAATGTGTTTTTTCCCTGTGATTCCGGACATATGGGACACCCTGTAGAATTCGTGTGCCCCTCTCGAAGGCTCGGTACAAGTTCGAGCCTGGGGACATTTTCTTGGATGGACGACCATCCTGCGTGGCAGGGTGGTCTGCGCTGTGGGCAGCAGTTGTCAGCGCATCAAAAATCGACGATTCAATCTCAGAGCTTCTCGATCGTGTTCATTATTTTATCGGGAGCTTGATCGATCTTAGTCCGAGGCAATTGAAGAGGTTCCGGTGGTGGGGGTGGCAGTGGCTGATGTCTTTCTGCTGGGGAATGGGAGACGAATGGAGGGGAGATTCGGATCGGCCACTGAACGGCACGGAGAGTTCGTCGAGTCTCCTAAGCCTGCCAAATGAGGTTGTTTCATCAGAAATTAGCAAGGGACACCGGTTGCTCTGTCGAAGTCTAACTTCTTGTGCACCCCACTTTTACCAACCCACTCTGACCCAGTCTGGCGAGAGGTTTCGCACCCATCTCTCATCTCCAAGTATCCACGCGTTGTCTTTATCGGTTTGTGTGGTTTTTTTTATTGTGGATTATTCGGGTCTCTTTTGCAATAAATCCCTATTTTACAAAATAAAAGTCGTGCTCCATTTACCTCGAAGATATGTCAAGAATAATTTGGTGATTTATTCGATTTTTTAAGCATCTTCATAATTACTAACAGCGCTCAATCCACTGTTGCAATTTGAATGAACTTCGAAGCTTCCCGACTTTTTATTGAACACGCGCCCGCCCGCCGAATCGATTCCTACAAATGATGTACAACTCGATAATCGACTATGATTCATGCCTTAAACCGAACCGCATACCGAGAGCCGATTTTCAAAATTGCATATTCTACAACAAAAAAGGGCCCGTTATAAATAATTGTTAAATTTTCAAACGTGCAACTTTGATAAAGGGGCCCGCGTGAATCGCCGCTCGAATGTCGTAATTAATAATCGAAGCACTTCCACTGAAAATAAGGAATCGATTTAAATCTGCCGTTTAATTGGGAATCGATTCCTGCGCTGCAAAGCTCGGGGCATTTGAATCTCTGCTTCCAGATCAGAGGTTTTTTGTTGTTTATACTTTGAGAAGTTTACAGATCTCCTTTTCTTTAACGAACACAAAAAAAAAACTCCCCAGTGGGCAAAATAAACTTTGCATTCATGAGATAGACTTTACCAGGCTTGGCTGATCATCAAAATTTGTTTACACTAAACAATTTATGAAAAAAAAGAATAGGTTTTACCCTTTCTCGCAATAAAACATGTGTGGTAAAATGTTTAAACACCAAATATGTTTTCATATTGGAAAAAATGTCCCATTTTGTAGCTGCTCACCCCAAGTTATAAATGCTCTGATAGTGGCATTGTCTTTGTACTGTTCGCCTTTTGGAATTCTCTGGTCTGATACTAATGAGATCCTAAAGATCGGTTTCAAAGACAATGTATATGTTATAAGAGCATGTTTGTTTGCATGTTCACCACAAGTACGTGTGGTTAATGCGAACATGATTCCTTGCAAAAGGTTTCTGTTTGGTGTTTGAACATCTTAACACCTGTTTAATTGCCAGAAAGGATTAAACCTATTCTTATTTTTCATACGAAGCAATTTTTTTCCAGCGGTGCCTTTTTCTGCAGAGTTGGCTTGTGTTCTTCATCACCATCGTCGTCACGATCCATTCTTATTCTTATGATTCTTTATTCGCACAAACAAAAGACAAGGCAGATAAGCCCCGAGTTCGGCGTCCACTGCACATATCGTCATTTGTGTTGCCACTCTTCTTCCTCGTGTGTCAATGTGCTCAAGCAGGGCCACATCTTTCTGGCACAGATCTCATACCGTGGCAACCCAAGCGGTTTATACCCCGTATTCTTGTACAGGGAAATTGAGTTTCCAGGTCCATAAGACGGACAGCCGTTTCAATACGGGCAAAAATATTTAGTATTTGTGTCTGTGTTTCTCCCTGGTGATGGGAATTTGTAGGAATGAAGGTTGAGATTTATAAGGGCACAGGGTGACCAATAAGGTCTGAGTTGGTCTGTAATAAAGTAGGGCACTGATAAGGGGTACACAGGTATGCGATCTCTTAACGACGCCAAGCCAAGCTCTGCGAGGTCATCCTCCCCCGGGTGTTGTTTATTCGTCGTCAGCCATGATCTCTCCAATACGTTTTGTCCTCTCTGATACGTGTTGTTTTTTCCGATCCGTTTTGTTCACTCCGATCCGTTTAGTCTTCTCCGATCCGTTTTGTCTTTTCCGATCCGTTTTGTCCTCTAACGGACGGCCCGGGTCCTGCTATGTAACCTGTCCGCCTCGCATCTGTACACAAGCTGACAGCATCACTCCATCTCTGCAGAGGACGACGTTGTTATCTCATCCAGCGTTGGGTTCCATCCTTTGGCTGCCACTCCCGAATGAGTCTCGACCACCGAGGAATTCATCGCTGAATTCCCACGACGTGACCTGCTGCCCCAAGCCAATTTGCAGTACGATTCTTGGATTAAGTGTCAATTTAATGTCTCTAACTTGTTCTTTGATCCACGTGTTTCTTTTTGAGTGAAACTCCAAGCGTGCACCTCTCCCCATGAAATCATAAACATTTAAAACATATAATAGTATATTTGGTCCTTATTAAAGTCTAGTGTTAACGTATGCTTTGAAAATATATATTTAAAATAAGCCTTGGACTACATTCTATAAGATAAATTCCAGCGCTATAATGAATAGTGTTCTTACAGATGGCTGATGACAGATTAATGATTAAAGCATTAGATTACAGAGTAGTAAGTTGGCTTATGCACTTCGCCAATAATGGATGTAACATTACCTTCTGCTTAATAGGCTGCGGCTGATTGCAGGGATCAACTTAATTTGTTTAGGTTTTTTCACATTATACTTAACTGTGATTATAATTCCGTAAAGTTTGCTCGAAGGGTACTTTATGAAAGCTGGTGTAACTTCTCAAGTTTCCAAAAATTCCCCAAATTTAAAACCAAAACCTCTCCATACGTACACCGTATAGCCCTCAGTACAGTACTATACTATTTCAAGAACATTGCGACTTCTCTATGTACTGCGGTAATATGTACTCGACTATAATATTGCATTGGTACTGATGCGTTCTGATCTCAAAAATAACATTTGCCAAAATTAGCATTTAGGCGGCGCTCATCTCCTGTTTAAGAGCTCTGAGCCACGTGGTGGAAATCGAAAATGATGAATGAATGATAAAATAGCCAAACATCTAATAATCAGAAGGTTGTGGTTGCAAGGTCAACACAAACGGACATTACTTTTCAAAATATATAATAAAAATGATTATAAATGCCTTTACATAAAAAATACAATGGCACAAGGCTGTTGTTGAAGGGTCAAAAATCAACACAAATCGTACGGTTTCCCACCCCTAGTTACTGATCCCAGTGGCCAAGATAGGTTGCATGGGTTACATACGTACTGTAATCTCGCCTGCATAAAATAAGAATTACCAGTAATGATTGTGACTTCTCTATGTACTGCTGTAATGTGTACTCTACTGTAATATTGTATTTGTACTGATGCATTTTGATCTCAAAAAAAAATATTTTCCAAAGTGAGCATTTAGGCGGTGCTCATCTGCTTATTTAAGAGCTCTGAGCCACGTGGTGGAAATTCCACATTACTATGGCGGGGGCAAGTAAACCCATAAAGGCAACCACTGTTGACTTCTCCAGTGTGTTACTTATTGTATATACCCCCGAGAGATTATGGGCTGATCCAGTCTAGATTGTCTTCATAATTATGCTAGAAGATGCATATACAATACTTTTCGAATCACTACACATTATTTTTGTATGTTGAATATATACCACCGCTGTAAATATGTATTTTACTCAATGCATTGCTATAACGTTTTAATACAATCGTATTGTTATTAAGGTCGGGTCAACATTTTAGAGTACAGGGTGTTTTAAAATGATGGACCGATTTGAAATCGCTATATCTCTGCAACCACGTACCGCCCATGAATGAAACTCTTAGCCACTTGAAATGGCGGGGCATAGAGTTTCACAATGATTACCCCTAGACGCCTCTCCCAGCGCACAAACAGCCCCTAGCCTCAGTCATTCGCAAGCAGACACACTGCCTCAACGTTGGATAGGTCGCACGGGACCCCAAGACTTGGCGCTACACTCTTGGCCCCCAAGATCACCCCAGACATCACGACACCCTGCGAATTTTTCTTGTGGGGATACGCCAAAGACCCGTGTTTTTGTGCCACCATTAGCGACTAATCTGGATGACCTCAAAAACAGAATCACGGCAGCGGTGACTTCAGTGGAAGATTACACTTTGAGAGGCGTTTGGGACGAATTCAACTATCGTCTCGATGTTGTCCGTACATCAGTTGGAGGGCACATAGAGCATTTATAAAATGGATAGTAAAACTTGACAACTCTTTAAACCGTTTGTAACTTTTTGTGTTGTAACATGTTGCCATCGTGAAATATACTGCTTTGAACTTGGGTCCATCTTTTTGAAACAGCCTGTATTTGGGTCCTATAAATTTCCCCACGATAAGCCACTTCGTTGACCTATCATTTGCGATAGCCAGGTAGCTTCTTTAAAGAAAAAAAAAGAGCTAACATAGCTTCAGTGGGCCTTACGCTGGTAAAATAAAAAAATGAGTTTAGTTTATGAAGTACTGTGCCGCACGAATAAATCTGAAGGTTTGTTTGGTATTCACCCGCCCAGAGTTGGCATCAAATCTGAGCCAGAGTGGGCGGGGCCCAAGCGGGGAGAAGCCCCGCCCCCCTCCCCCCGCCCCCCTCCCCCCGCCCCCCTCCCCCCGCCCCTGTCATCCACTCCACTTCTCTCGCTCTCTCTCTCCTCCCGCTTCCATAATCTCTCTCCTCTCGCTCATCTGCTCCGTCGGCCCTTCGCACCGACAGGACTACGCAACAGTGACGGGCGAGAGACGGACGGACCGAGGTCCCGGCCACACTAACGTCGAGTTGGGTTCACGCTCCCGCCCGCCCGCCCGCCCGCCAGTCCGTCCGTCTCCTCCCGGCTTCCAGGGAGCAGTAAGAAGAGACGGCGAACAGCAGCAAGCAGCCTGTGGAGTTACAAAGTTTTGTCTGGAGACCCGAGTAGACAAATCCACGACTACCAACAACAAACAACAACATCAACAACAACATCAACAACAAACAACAACAACAACGCCGCTGGTATTGCTGCTTTTCGCATGCTGTTGGTGGTGTCACCGTCTGTGTGCAGTTGGAGACAGAGAAGAGAGAGAGAGATCGATGGGCTTGTTTGTTTGTTGATGTTTTGTACTTTTTAAAAAAATGATATAAATGTAAATGTGTGATGCTACTTGCTTGCAAAGTGTCACAACTCTTGCGGTTACTACCGAGGTCGCGTTCGTTACAAAAAAAGCCTGTAAAGTTGTGATGCTGATGATGGTGGTGGTGATGTGGTTGTTGTGGTTGTTGGTGGTGGTGTTCTGGCTCCCTTGTTTCTGTTTAACGATTGCACCCGCATTGTCGCGCTTGTAACATCTTTGGAGCCGCTATGTTCAACAAGTCGGGCTGATAAGTAACTCTGATAACTTAACACAAGTAGTTGGTGTACGGGAGAAGCGTGCGTGGCGTTTGTGGTGTATGTGGCTGTGTTATTGTTAGATTTTTTTAGATGTACTGTACTGTACCTCTAATGTATTTTGCTGGAATGACAGTACTCTAATCGTACGTGTAGTTAAAAGTAATGTGTAATAGATTACAAGTCAAGTTGTGAGTGAACAACTCACACACCTACGTATCTTTTTCGTGGTAACGTGTTCTCAGTCGTAAAGCAGCCACATGTATTGACCACAATGTTCATTTATATAGATTTATAAGTGCTGTGTTTTACAGTATAAAGTACTACCACACGTGTGTGTGCGCAGACGCTGGTAGCGGTTTAATAGCAAATGTGATCATTTGACTGACACATTTCTTTGTCTTTTCTATACACATGTAAATCTATGACACTCTTGCGCATGTAAAATAACTTTGCTGAATACAGTATGAGCATGGTATAATGCTTGAACAATGCCCGTGGTGTGTGTGTTTGCATTTAAAGTATATTGAGATGTTATTTTTTAAATCACAATGGATGACGTGATTGTTATGGCAAGTTGCTGTGTACAATCGTTGATCCTCTTAGCAGTGTCCGCTCATTCTGGCTGACGTGTAACCATTGTTGTATTGTGTGTGTGTGTGTCCCCGTGTGTGCAGGCAGGTTGTTCCCCCCCCTTTGAAACTGCTGCCAAGGTGCTTACACATAGAACTTCAGTGTACACCGTACACAGCAGATTGCAACATCTTCCTACAAACACACACACACACACTTCTTACTCACTGGCCGGTTACTGCATTACGCCAAGAATGCAGTAAGTGGTCAGATCGTACACTTTTGGTTATTCACCAAAACAATCCTATCGTACGTGTAACTGATCACGCCCTTAAACTCACTTAGTCATCATCTACTAGGTGTGCCTTGATAATGTTAACTGGTTACTTGACGGAGTGACCACCCCCGTATTGATGGATGATTTAAAAAAAAATGAACAGATTCATCTCTGATTCAATTACCACGTACTAATAATCACTCGTCAACATCCTGTTGTCAAGAGTGATTTTAATTGACTTCACTGTGTAGTAATTTAATGGCGTTTACTGCACTCATAGAAACATAGTGTGTTCACGGTACAGGGGTTGCACAATCAGTGCAAGATGTATAAAAAGAGCATTGCCCAATTTAAGGAACGTGAAATTGCATACAATAAAGTAGCAAACGTGTTACGTTGAACTGGCAATATGCATTTACGTAGAAATTGCGTTTTACGTAAGCATCACATCCAGCTATTTGCCAGGTGCACTTGACAAATGCATACCTATCAACCCCTTATCAGTGTCTACCTTATTACAGACCAAGTCAGACCTTATTGGTCATCTCGTGCCCTTATAAATCTCAACGTTCATTCTAAAAAGTCCCATCACAAGGGAGAAACACAGACAAATAGACAAAAATAGTTTTTTTTCCGTATTGAAACGGTTGTACGCTGTATGGACCTGAAAACTCAATTTCCCTGTACAAGAATATTGGTAAACCGTATGGGTTGACGGGTATGCAAATGTGTGCACAGCCTAGATCCATCCACAATTCCTTGCACCCAACAGGATTTTGTTTCAAAGCACTCTTTTGTTTGAGTGGCCTGGAACAAAATCTGGAATGAAATGTTCTATTTTGTTGCGTACGTGTGTCAGGTTTTCTTCAATCGGAGTTCTCAACCCTGCCAATGGAAGCTGCTGCGGTGCCATCCCACACACGATTGCCCCCCATCCCAGCTAGGTATGGATTTGTTGTTAAAGGGTACAGTACTTTTTATATTCTTTGGTTCTTTCGGTAAAGTCACGTAGACAGAAAAAATAATTATAAAAAATAAAGTGAATACAAATATCACGTTTCGATCGCAACACAAGCGGTCGTCAGAGGCAAACTGTTACTGGTAGGAACCTCCTGGTTACACCAGCCCACAGGGGATTATTGTGTCCGTCGTGCAGGGAGGGGCCGGGTGGGGAGGGTGGGGCTGGGTGGGGAGGGGAGAGTGGGGATGGGCTATGTGGGGAGGGGCTGTGTGGGGAAGGTGGGGCTGGGTGGGGGGTGGGGCCGGGTGGGGAGGGGGGTCAGCCCGTGGTGCCCTTATAAAACTCGACGTTTAACCTACTCACGCCCAGAGGTCGCAACCGGGTACCCGATACCCGTACCCTACCCGATACCCGGCTACCCGTACCCGGCCAGGTACGGGTACGGGTACCCGTTTGCGACCCTGGTGCGGCCGGGTACGGGTAAGGAATCAAAACCCGTTTGCGACCTCTGCTCACGCCATCTTGTGCCCGCCCTCACAGTCGGGCATATTTGCGGAATACACCACGCCGCCGTTGACCCTGGCCATTGACCGAGCAACCCAACGTTCCTACCAGCTCCCTCCGCAGGAATGTGTTAAAGGTTTGGGGATGGGCCTAGCCCAAGTGTATCAGCAGCACCAGGAGCATAGGCAGTGCACGAATGCCATTGAAGCAACAATGTCAATGCAGCAAAGGGCCGCCAAGAAATCCCTGCACCCCACTCCACACACACCACACTGCTGACGGTTGGAGGTTGATTGGCAAGAAAACACAAGTCAAGTCATGATGACATCTTTCCAATGATTGCTGAGTCTATGACGTTCCTCTCGGTTGAAATTGTCTCTGTGTCTGTATATATGGATGGCTTCATGAACGAATCTTTGTTGATAGTCAGTAGGCTTGCAAAGTACCATCGTCTTAGAGAAATCAATTTCGCGTGAGCCAGCCTCTATGTGTGTTGAACTTGTTTCGAACAGTACGTATCCAACCGTTTATTTATCGTTGTTAAATAACAACCGCCGCACCGGTAATTGTTTTCATAATCACTGGTTCCGAAAGTCAGTAACCGGTTATCGTTTAGAGTGGAATTCTAATGAGAATCGTGCAACACGTACCAGCTTACAATACGGAACGGTGGTCTAAGCCACCGCTCGGAACATTTGTCCTGGTTTCTCAGTTTAAAAGCTAAAGGTGCAACGCTGCAATTGCTTGCTCACACCACTGCCAGTGTAAGGGCCTCCTTTGGAGGGAGCTGTCGATGGGATTTGGTCTACTCTTACATGCCGAGCAGATGTCTTGGAAGAGCTGGGCGTACCCATACTTTACCCCACCAAACATAACCTGTCGATCGACGAGGCCAGTGGGCTAAGCTATACACCACGGTCAACTCTCTTCGTTTCTCAGTTTAAAAGTAACACTGTTACGTTTTATTGCTACACATTTATACGTGTGGCAAACAGATGTTTTTTTTCTGGCTTGCAATGTTGTTAAGGGCAATGCAAAAAAAACAATATAAACAACCTGAGATATTTTCACATGTTATATGGGTAAACCTTAGAATATGTAATTTGTATGTCATGTTATCGCCTGTTATCTGTGTTTATATCTCAGCACATAGTTTATTTGCTTTGTGGCAAGTAACATGTATAAACAAACTCTTAATGCTCTGCCATGCTACGACAAGATGCCATATTTTTTGTTTGTAATGTAAACTCGTCATGCAATGAAGATATTTCTAACCTGGAGGCCAAACACAATTTTTCTAAAGTTACATTAATATCATTACGACATACAGTGCATATGTGTGTAATGTAAGGGCCCTTAAATTTTGGCTCAAATATGTGTTCTTGTTTTTATATATACGAAAGCTTTTGCATTTCCGAACTCTTTTTTTGTTTCAAAGGAATGGGGTACACTTAGAGCCCAATTAATTTGTTTGTAAATTATGCTTTTCATCCAGTTTCTGATGAAAACGTCTTGATGTCTCCCTAACCATCAATGGCACAATTCACCAAGGCAATGTGGTGGTCCGTTTAGTTAAATAGTGAATCTGGGTTCTTTTGGTCTTTTAATGTCTGTCCAAACTCAAGGTGTGTTGAATGTAAAGTGTCGTGTTTTGTTAATTATGATGTTTACTGGTGTATGCCTTGCTACAGCATTTATATGTATTCATGGTTATGCACTTTAACTACTTATTTTATAATGACCCATTCTCTTGTTGAATCATAAGCATGGCAAACAACTGAGGCCTTGGTTTTTTTTGGATGAACACACAAGTAGCGGAATGTGTGGTATTCTCAAAGCAAGCGCTGGCAGGCAGGCAATGTGGGGATTGGGCTGACGGGCAGCATGATATGATGGTGGTAAAGGCCATGGATGTTTGATCTTCTGGAATGGATGGGCACTGGGTTAGATAAAGGTCATGACTACATGGACAGTAACACTCCCTTTGGTGAAAGAGTAGGCTAGCCATGTTGTGGAAGTTTGATTGTTAACATATATATTGTATCTTATTATAAAGTACTGTATTGGTACAATTGTGCAGTGGTTAGTGCATTGTGCTATAAATCTGGCAGTCCGAGTTTGATTCCTGTCTATGGCTAAGACCTGTGACGAGTGATACCTGAACCAGCCTGGCGCTTCACAAACCATACTGACCAGCATGGTGAAGTCGAGGCAAACAACCTCCATGACCGACATGGCGTGGGCGGCCGTCATTCAACAGCGGATTGACAAAGGACGATAAATATATGTTTAAAGTATCATAGTATATCCTGTGATAAAAGAAAAACTGAAGTGGTCACCAAAATAAAGCCACAGAAACACGTTTTACAAGAATATGTCCCTTATAAAAAAATATTTGCAAGGTTTAACTTTGAAATATGCAATTTGCTTGGGGTATTAACTTTATTTTCCATAAATGTAAATATTGGCATTTTAACAACTCATGGCATTAGTCATTAGAATGTGTATACGATACACATGCCAACCTAGCTATAACATTACAATGTATTTTTTTCAAGAATATCTGAAAACTGAAAACTGGACTTGATTCGCAGTTAGCTTATTCATTTGCTGTTTTATAGACAGGATGTGGTTTGGGTAGGGCTTTTAATGACCGAAGAAATGTCTCCAGACAAAGTAAACTACTTGTTCGACAAGTTAAACATCATTGTGCACAAAACATACATTGCATAAGTCCAGTAACATTGACATATTCATACACTCTGTTATTAACTCTTTCCAGTAAAAAACAAAGTATACAGCACATCACAGTCTATGTATACTGTATTTAGCAGCTCAATGCTAATTGTTTCGGAGCACTGTTAGTGTGGAAGAGCCAAACGTGCACCTTTATAAATCACTGTTAAAGAGTGTCGTAACTTTGTTTAAATGCCTCCTGTTATTTAGTCATGGTTTGGACGATGAAGGGACATTTGAACGCCATCCACAATTTCGTCTTGTAGTACTGACATTTTCAACAGAAAACAAAAATGGCATTGTGGTGTGTGCAACTGCGTATGCAATGCAATACACCACGTTGTAGTGTCAAGAGTCTTCATATATTTAGTTACAAGCAGATTGTGCTTATATTTTCATTTACATTTTACGGATAATATACATTCATTCAAGAATTGTGACACAATTGGTCAGATATTTATCTTGACTAAATGTTCAAAGCACATTTATTGCAGTTTCCCTCCATAGTTGGTAATGGGGACATTATACATTGCCCCAAAAATTTGACGAAATGAAACATTCGCCAACATTTGAATTGGACTCGTTACCTAAATTGCAGTGTTTTAATCAGAATCAGAAAGGGTTTTATTCGCCATGAAAGTTCGCACAGACAAGGAATTTACTTTGGCAGGAAGGTGCATACATTCAACATATATAATGCATTGTGCACTTAAATAACAGGGATTGTTTTGTGACCAAGTGAGCCATAAAGTTATTTGCATAATAATTATATCCACACGATTAATTGGTGACATTTCAACACAATTGGTTATTTTTTATGAGCTCTAAAGACACCTGTTCCAACATATTATGTATTTTAGAAATGCATCTACTTTTGCCCAGCAATATAGCAGTTCATATTGTAGATGCAAAATTATTTAAAACACCATAGCATTGAACATTCATTATTTATCATAGTTTTGTGCTTTGGATGTGAAAAATGCTTTACAACTCAGAGAAATCTAGGCTTCTGAATATGGAATAATTTAGCGATTATGCAACGGCTAATTAAACTAAAACTTTACATTTAGTGGCATGTTAAAAGTTGCTGGAGCCTAGGGCCCTAACTGTTATGAAAATATAAGGGAGTGCTGTGGCTGGTGTTGAAGTTTGAAGGGTTAGCTTGTGCTCTTGTTCAAGAAAAGTTTGCTTGACCTTGCTAGTGTTTACTTTTTGTAATAACTCGCTGGAACTTCAATGCAACGTTTTAAGTATTTGCTGTTCCAGGGCTAAAAGAACATGTAATATAGTTGGACCTATAATACTTTTAGTGTTTGTGTGTAGTTGAACAGTACTGGATTTAATGTCAAGTGTTTCATTTCTGGAAGGTCTTGTACAATTCTGCTTCCATTTGTTCCATCAGTGTATGTGAAATGATGTACTGTAATATAATATTGGTTTTAAAGAGCAGGCTCTCCTATACAGTAGTTCTTATTACAGATGTGTATGGTATTTCGTATTTTACTGTGAAGTGTTTCGTGTCGTTTTGAGTAACCAGTTTTGCAGGTCTTCTAAAATATACGCTTGGAGTAGATTTTTAGCCACTGCGAAAATTGAGAATCGTATTTCACGTCAGAATCAGAACATTTATTTATACGGGAGGAATCCAAAGAGCCATACAACTCTTTTTGACAGATGTCAAGTAGTACTTGGTGGATTGAGAACTTTTATCACGTGTGTATCATTCATTTTAAAGCTTTATCT